CAGATGTCCCCAATTCCTTCTGTCTTGAGTACCCTACTTTTTACAGAGGTTGTGAGATATTAGCCTTACTGTGCAAAAATATGATGAATAGAGAATTATTCCCTAAGCCTAGTGACATTGTAGGGTCAACCACCTGATAATTGCTTTAGTGTTGCTCTTAATCAAGTGAATAACAACATTTATGACTTTGTAGATCAACAAGTGTGCGGTCTCTCCGATTTGCTAAATTTTACCCTAAATTTTACATTTAGAGTAACCTCAGCTTCTTGAAAAATTCATCATGTATAGAAGACTGTTATGGTTCTTGACGGTAGGCCCGCAGATAGCAGCAAGGCCACGGGTCACTCCTTCCAGTATTTCTAACAGCTGGCTCATTCCCTCTGGAGATCTCTCAGGTGCAGTAGAAATTCTGAGTGGTAGATGTGGGTCTGGTCTCTAGACTCTAGATCTCTAGTCTCTAGGCTTCATCCTAATACAGTTATCTAGAAGTGGTGGATGTCTACTCATACGGTAGGTGTAGACATCTGTCTTGTAGACTTCTGTACCTCTTAGCTGAACTCTATCTTACATTTATGAACTTTTACCTCTAAAGTGGATTAACTAATACAGTGAAGCTACCATTCCTGAGAGAATAACATCTAAAAGAGCCCAAGTCTGCATTGTTTACAGATGATTTACCATCTTGGAGCTGGCCAGGAGTATGCTTGGCTGATGAAATGAAAGAACATGTTTCCCATTCCTTGGTTCACACTGTTGAGCTGTGACAATTCATCACGGATGTATGCACATTCCTGGAAGGTTCAACCTGCAGTGACCATAGCTATTCATCAGTTAGAAGGGTCATCAACAGACCCAATTAACCCCTCGTGCACTGTGTTTTTGAGCTGTTTCCTGGAAACTTTCACCAAAGGAACTGGAACTTGCTGAAATGCGCAGAGTGAGAATCTTGATTATGTGGGAGTGTTTCAGTTTATCTAGTCCATTGAATAACCTTGAGAACTGTAGGAAAGTTTTTGCCTTTGCAGCTTGAGCTTTCATCTGACTCAGCCGCAGGCCTAAATCTTTGTTTGCCTTAGAACAGCAGTCATTCAAAATCACTCACTGTATAAAAATCTTTTCATATAGATGCAGTCTCTTACCAGTGACGTTCACTCAGCATTTTAATGGGATACAGGGGCCTCTTAAATGCAGACAGTTTTCTATCGGCAGCATGAGGCTTCAGACAAGACAAAGCAATGTAACCTCTCAGGAAAGAATGTGGTATCAGCTCCTAGGCTGTCCTGAGGTAGACAGAGATGCTGTGGAGTGTGATGTTCATATCCAGCAGCTTGATTGAGTTCCAAATGCTAAAACATGTCCTAGGAAGGCATTTGCAGTATTATTAACAGCCATTAGCTCACAGATGCCAGATTTACACGAGGGCATAATAACCCTTAGGAATTCTGAAACATCTGGCAAATGGGATCAGGAATGTAATTTTGGCTGTTTTTGACTCATCCACTGAGATGTCGTTCCTCTGAGTCTGCTTGTGAGGTTTTTTGTGGGTCTGTGACAATTACAGCTACCTTTTAGTGCCTGGCACTGGGCACTGAGTGGTCGTGTTAGATCACCAGGACCTCAGACATCACTTGTTGCATCTCAGTGCACTCAGTTTGCCTCACTACTTTAATTGTTTCATAGCATCACAGCAATGCCAAGTCACTGTCAGGCAGCTGCTTCCATGTTCCAAGGGATGAAATCCAAAATTGTTTCATTTTGAAACCTGCAGGTGAAATCACTGTGTTGTGATCATGTTAAAGGGTGACAATAACATCTTACACAGATTCACACTTCTCTTTGAATAGCATTTGTATTTGACCCCTAAATTAGATTTTGGGGGGGAGAAGTAAACCAAAATTACAATATTAGTTTTTTATGAGCTTGGTTCTTTAACAACTAGGATAAAGTACGGCATTGGTGTCTCCAGCATGTGGCCAAGATCAGGTAAGATGAAGGAGATGGTGCCTTTTCTTCCTTTTTTCCCCTGTATCTGATGCAGGTCTGAAACACTAGGATCTTGTTTACCACTTGGCCATAAAAAGTATCAGCCTTGCAAGGGAAAGGCTCCAGACTTGTATTACAGCTGGGAGCACCAGCACCTGTGGTTACCACTAACACCCAGGTTGCTTCACAGATCTTAGTGCCATTGTCCTCAGGCTTTCTATTATGATGCTCTACTGCCACAATATGATATTTTGATTATTTATCAAAGCCTCCTATGATGGTGATCATAGTTGGAGTGCACATAAATTGCACAACAATGCACCGTTCGTGTCAAAAAGAATAAATAAAATCTACTTTAAAAGCTCTAGTCATCATCCAATGATGCCTACTTAACAAAAAAAGGTACATATGTAATTTCAAACAGTTTTAAAACATAAGATTTGAACAGCTTTATGAACAAAGTGCGATTGATGGAACCTGGGTGGCTTTCATATCTCCAGTTGATTAGATTGTAAAATGGCCGAATAGGGAGAGAAATCCTACTTCAGGAAGTGTGAAAAGTATTGGATATCAGGAGATACAAGCACTTTGCTGAACAGAGCTTTATAAATATTCTGACCTTAAATATCTTTTTTCAGTTTACCATTATCATATTTAGAAATCACTTCAAATATTCATAGAAACCATGTTAGACGCCACAATCATTAGCCTGAGATTCTCCAATTACTTTACATCGGAAGTCTGTCACTCTTCTCAAAAATTAAGACATTTGAAGCCAGAATTTATTCTGAGATGTAATTTTGAACATATCGGGCTCACATAATTATAGTGATTATATATTTGAATGTACATTTCTGTCTTGCATTCTTAATATAGTTGAATTAATTACCTCAGAAAAATAATCAATGTTATTTCTATGCATTTTAAAGCACACTTTCCCTATATATTCTCATCACAATCCATGACTACAATAATCACCATCAATAGTATTATGACACCCGTATTCCATTTCAACATCAAAATTTAAGTAAGTTGCAAGGATACTCTCTTCTCCAGAGAAAAGAACTCCATATGAACAAGTTCACCAATAACCAGCCCACACTTCAGACAGATTAGCAACTAACTATATTTGAGTGCTGGATCTGAGAATGCTAAACCATGACAAACAAGGAAAATCCCTCATGCAGTGTATTAGGTAATATGAAAATATTAGGAAAAATGAAGTTCATGTTACTAAAATCTCCTGAACTTCAGAAAGTCTGTTGTATCCTTTGTTCACTTAATCAGCTAATTTAATTTTGCCTTTGGGAACCAAATTGCATTAAGTTAAAACAGCAACAAGAATTGAGAATTAAAAAGCTGTTAGACTAATTCTTTTATAAAACCAATGCCAGCAATCTGTATTATACTACTTTCTTACATTTTACTTCTTTATATAAATTATTTGTTTATCTATTTGGCATCAGAAATGTCATACCGGCTGTAATATAAGACTTGAGGCAAACTGGTTTTTTTTAAATAATGCTTTTCACAACCTTCACACTTCCTACTTGCGAAGTCCTGGAGAGTCCTACAGAATAAACTAGAGTTCAGGGTGATTTATTCTGATATACAGTAGTCCAGAACATTCCTTTGCTACTATAAAAGAAGGATGAAAGGAAATTTCCAGAAGAATCACTTGGGAGTATTCCACCCACATTATTTGTGCTTGTGTGAGTTTATGTGTCTGCCTCCTGTACTGTAACACACTAAAAGGATCCTGCTCTGCTGCTGCGGCCCATCACAGTGATCTGTCACAGGCTAGGCAATACTCTATCTTCACAGTCACTCTGGCCACCATGAACTTAGTTTTCTGCAGAGACAACATAAATCCCAAACTAGGATTTCTTCTATAAAGTCTTGGTAAGAAATGGAAAGAAAAATCATGCACATGTCCCGTTACCAATGTGCAGCCTGACTATTATCTGAGGAACAGGGACTGCTGGGGAGAGACGGTACACAGTGTCAGGGCTGCATGAACACAGCACTACAGTCACTGGTAACCAGTTCCACCAGTGGAAATCCCAATTGGATCTAAAGAACAAAAATCTTCACCATGAGAGGGAGGGGTTAAGTATTGGGACAGGAGCCCACAGAGGCTGTGGGATCTCTGTCCTATAAAATTTTCTGAAGTCCCATGGATGAAGCCCTAAGCAACCCAATCCAACCACAAAGTTAGCCCTGCTTTGAGCAGGAGGTTAGTGACTAGAGGTCCCCGCCAACTGAAGTTATTCTATTGTTCTCTGATTGTCTTCTCCTACGGTAGATGATAGCTGGCTTGGAAACTGAGTTCACCTTCCTCCAAAAATGTTTCATCCACATAGACCCGATGTGACCTTGCAAACCTTTAAGACAGTGGCTTGCAATCTTTATCAATCCGCAGACATGAAAATATTTCCAGTGGTGGTCCAGATCTTAAAAGCAGCTTTAAGTCTCTCCAGAGGAAGTTTCTTTTATTTAGTTAGTTTTCACAGATTCTTTATTAGTAAGCCACAGATGCCTACATGTCCATATGCCATACTGAAAACTCTTGTTTTGATGTTTCTAATGAGAACAATGTTGGATCAGACTCGACTTTGATTATTTTGCAAAACCGTCCTTTCTAAAGAAATAAATTTGCACTTAGGCTGTGCTCTCTCTGCCTGTCTCTTTTTCCTTCCATGCACAGACTCCCCTTGAGTAAACAGCCTATAAACCAAAGAATGTAATATCCCATTTTTATGTAGGAGAATGCAGAGATCTTTTCTCCCTTGAAATATTGTGAAATGGGAAAAATAAGCTACTTGGCATTATTATAAAGAAAAACTACAAGAAAGTTTTATCTGAGAAGCTTATTTTTTCTTATAGAGCAGCTGTTTTACACATTAACAAAGAAAGTCATATGGAAAAATGTATGCATTCATGGAGAGAGCGAGACTCAGAAATCTGTATCTCATTCTACTTCTCATATAAAAGAACAGAGGAACCATGTTAATTACCTGTTTCCATTTTCCCATCTTGTGCTGCAGGCCCATCAGGAATTACACTCTTCACCTGGAGAAACTCGTCTGGCTCATCCCCACCAATGATGGTAAATCCAAAACCCATGTTGCTTTTCTTAAGAGTTGTGCTGAGGAAAGTCCCCTTCAGCTGTGATGCATCACGGGTGAAGAGTGGTTTTTCTACATCAGTCAACACAAACAAGAAAGACAAAAGTTCTGATCTAGTCACAACGCAGCGGGGACAGCAGATAACAATATTGGCTGACAGCAGGTGACAGTGTATGAAAACCAAGGAAATAAAGAGTGCAGGCATTCCAGGAAAAAATATTTGTGAGTTCTTGCATTAATACAAAGCTTAAAACGTATTTCTTATCTATGGCAGATCAGCCATAAGTGGGGAGTTATAAATATTCTTTCGTATTAGAAGTACATTTAGAAGTGGATATTGTGTAGCTAAAATAATTGCAACAATAAAAGTGATCTGTGAGGTAATTTTAAACCCTCTTTCCTAACCTATAAATTCAGCTTTGTCTACAAAGTAATACATTCTCCATAATTTCCCTCCCAACCGCAGTAAGGAAAACATCCCCCGAATATCTTACTCCATTTGTTAACAAGCAGTGCTACGTATTAGGCTAGCTTTTCCCTCCAAACAGGTGGGGTTTTGGCATCCAACAAGCGACACACACAGCTGCTGTGCAACCTCCGCGTCCCCTCTCCGCATGCCTCGGTGTGCAGTGTGGGTGGCGGGGGCTCCCCGTGCCTCTCTCCCGTGCTGTGCTTGGTGAGGAAGGGCGGCAGGAAGGTGCAAAGGTTGTGACTTCTACCGCTCTCGCTACGCCCGCAGCGGTGGGGCTGGGCTGGCCGGCAGCGGAGGACATACCGTGCAGCCCGCGCGTCCCGGCGGGGTGGCGCCGGCACTGGGACAGGTCATTCACGCTGCGGGACCTCTTGGGAGCGGGGTGCAGGTGGGCGAATTTGGGTCTAGGTAAAGTTGATGAGGAGCTTTCTACTGTTACAAAGGAGAACAAGCCTCATTCTCTGGCTATAGCCTTATGTTAAAGTTTATTCGTCTCTACCAATACTGTTTGCTGCTCATTCAGCTCATTTTAAGCACATTAATTTTTACGTTACCAAGAGGCTGTATTCTTGTAAACTCCTATAACACAGCGCTTGAGGCTGTTAACTTAATTGATGCTTGCTAGATGAGCTAGCTTAGAAACATACCAAACATCAATTAACGGTAATTTAGAGAAAGTACAATTAATTATTTCAGTGTTGCCAACCTCTGGTGCTCAAGAGAGAGTCGTACATTCCCAAGAATAGAATTTATGATTTTATTTAGAAAATTACTTTGGGGCTCTTATTGTGCTTTCTGTTTCTCAGCCTTTAGGAAACTCTAGGGTCAACTTTTCTGTTTTTTCTCTGCGCCTCTGAAGGTTAGAGTATTTTAGGTGGCTCATGAGTCCCGCAACTCTGGGAGCTCAGACATTTAGGGCAGAAAAATGCTAGGAGATAGGTGATAACATTGTGAGAATTGGCAACACTACTGTTTCAATCAGACTATGACGAAATCATTGTCACATAAACAGGAGAGCAGGATCTTTCATCTTAACTAAGATAGCTGACACAGTACTGTACCTCGGAAACCTTGGGCCTGCATAGGCTTTGTTCCAAGTTCTGCGTTGGGCATGTTATGCTGCTGTAGCTTCCTTTTTGCTTCTAGGACAGGGTTTTCAAATTGTGTTCTTCTATTTATGTGGCTGGAAAAAATTTGGTTTTGATTAAAAACTGGGTTCAGTTGGGGAGAATGATCATTTTCACAGTAGGATGCTGAATGTGACTTAGGTGTGTGTGGTTAGAGAGCGAAACCATTATGAATCCCCAATGGGCCTGAGCATGTCCCTTATACTCCACACAATTTTGTTGGGGATGAGAAATGCACAATCTAGCGCGCTGCATAATGAACAGCACTGAGAAGTGTCCTATCATTTCAATATGCTGAACTCTGCTACAGACAAATGGTTTTGATCTGTGGGACTACATATTACATAGCAGTACTGCTGAAGCATGCTACAATGACAGTTTTTCATGTCTTTAGCACAAGCATTGTTCTGCGCATGATTCAAAGGATCTGAACCAGTTTTGTGCATTATCATTGATTAGCTGTAAGTGAAAGAAATTAATCACTTACAGAAAAGGTAAAGCCTAGAGCACAGAGTGCTTTTATGGTCTCAGCTTAGAAATAAATCTAACATAGGAAATAAACTGAAGATGATTTCTTTTTAATTCTATGGCATATATCTCCTCAGCTGTACAGAAAAATCGGATGTTGCAGAAACTATCAGATGGTAGATTAGAACTACATAGATAAATATATGAAATATAAGAAAAGTTAACCTACACTTTTTTTCTCGATGTTTTACATTTCCTATAACAGGTCAGTTAAGTACACCTCTGTCATTACACCACTAATTTTCTGTACTGTGTCTAGAACTAGCTTAACTACATACTTTCATCATATCCTTGATTTTAATTCTTTAATTTAAAGCATATATTTTATCAATCAATGAGTAATCCTACAATCCTGTCCTGTGATATGTTTCACATGTTTTCTGAAGAAGGCAAAACAATTTAGTAGGCTGCACTGAACAACTCTGCAAGATAGGATCACAACAGGATCACAACCGAGAAAAGGGGCTTGTGCTGCAGACATTGCTCTGGGGAAATAAATACATATGTACAGAAGGGCAGGTATTCAAACATGTCACTCCTTATTTGTTCTCACTGAGCTACTATGTACTGAGTTCTTCTGAAAATCCAATCCCAATCATGGGCTTTAAGTACCTGGAGAGGTGACCTGGGAACTTTTGAAACTCTGAGATCCTAAAAAGGGTTGAATGCTTTCAATTTATATTGAAATGACCTTTTATGCCACATTAAGCACTTTTCAGGTCCCTTGGGATTCAGATCCTACCACTGCTTCAAAGAAAGTAAGTGGAGTTGCCATTAAGAAGTGAGGTAGAAGAAAGGCAGCAAGTCCTATGGGAGTGCAATATACTTGGAAAATCAGGATTTAGTAGCCAGAGTTAATCCAATGAAAAGATTTCCAGTCACGTAAAAGAATATTTGATTTAATGAAAGGAAGTAAATGTGATAAATCCTGGAGTTGTTACTTTGTTAACATGGCTATAACTTATTCAAGTGGCTGCCAACTTATTCTTGTACTCTAAAATTTTGATTAATAGTTTTCTTGTAATTTTTAATCTATGCTGCAGACAGATAAAGTCCCTTTTGTTTCTTTCCTTCTTCAGACAGGCTGTTTAAGATTGTAGACTTTCCTTTCCTAGACTTTTGCTTTCTAGTTAGACCGTGCTGTAACTGTCAGGGTCTTCAGAACCTTAGTCTATTGCAAACCTAGAAACGCATGATGGAAGGGAGACAAACTTCACCAGTTAAAAATGGAGAAAGACAAGACTTACTTGCATTAAATAGGGTAATTATGAACTACTGACATAAGCATGAAAAAGGTAATTTTCATGCTACCACCTATCATGTGATGCATTTCAATATTTTAAAGGAAATACTACTTTTGCCATTACACAAGGCAGAGATGAAACATCACATGAAATACTACATAAAGTTCTGATCACCCATGACCAAATAAAATGAATCCATAGAAAAGGTTTTACAGGAAGACCAGTGAAAGAGAGAGTCTTCTCTGATAGAAGACCAGAGAAGTTTTAGCTTTTTATCCAAGCAGAATTAATTCTGATATATAATTGCATTCTATGAATACATTTGGAAGTAAATACTAGAATGTATTGAAGATGTCAGGATTTCAGACTTGAAATCTGTAGGCTTCTTACAAGCAGAAGTGTGAAATTATGAAACAGCTTCCAAGAGCAGATATGGGGTAAAATATCTAGCTTGTTTTATGTTAGCATTTGATAAGGTTAAAAACAGGGTTGCTACACAGTGGGTTGAGTTAATTGCTTCAACATAGAGATCATGTCTTATTTTAGAGGCTCTAAAGTATCCTGCCCTGGTCTCCAGCTGCTCTTCCAGAAGAGCATGGGTTCCCCATAGCTTTTGTGCCATATCACACAGATGTAATGGATATCTAAGATCACACTCACTACAGATCTGCATTTCAGACCTTGAACTATGTATGGTTGATGTCATGCTATAATTGCAGGGCACATCTCAGTGCCACAGGAAGCCCCTTGCAGACCTAAGTTACAACTTATATGTGGTTCTGTGATATAAAAAATAATGGGATTTTAGCTAATATAGGATGTGTCCATGGCTCAAGGAACATCAGTTCCTCTGGTACTGACATCACAGCTAGACTCTGTTATCCACTGCCTCTCTACAGTTTCTAGGTAGATTTTATGTTGTGGTTTAGTCCATTTACAAAGAAATGTCTTCAGTAATGGCTATCTTGAAAATGACCTTTTTGTCCTAGCAGTTCAGATAGAAAGACTAGCAGAGGTACTTGAAGCACCTCAAGTTGTTGGTGCAACCTTAATAATTCTTAGCTCCAATTTATTCCCACATTTTGACTGTTTTATGGTAGTGTGCAGTCTCAAAAGCACGTGAGAATTCCAACAAATTCAAACAACTGCATTAAATATTGTGTCCAAGAGGAGTCAAAGAAAAGAAAATTATAATCAGTCATTTTTATCAGTCAGTAACACTGGATTTACACTCCTAGACTGATTAGACATGAAACACCTCCCTTTTATGCAATTTTAAGCGCTGTACAGCTTCATGGCTAAATCAGAAAAATTGCTACTGATGAGTTTACCTGAGAAAGAAGTTATTAAGCTAAGTAGTTCCCTTGAAAGGACATTCTAGCCTTTCATCTAGCTACTTCAGCTGCATACAAAATAGGTATTTCTAACCTAGGCGTTAATAAGGCAAACCAAATGAGAGTTTTAGAAATGGTTACAAATAAGTGGTTTTGTGGTTAAAAATAGATTTTGGATGTGATCCAAAATGTATTGCTCATTGCTCATAGTATCTAATTCAGCAAGCATTTCTATCTTCGCTTTTCTTCCTTTATTTTATACAATGCATATTAAATATAAAAGCCCAATCCAAAGACGAGAATCCAACTAATTTCTCTTAGTGCCATTGTGGCTGTACAAAAGACTCATGCTGCCTTTTGTTTGCTTTCTATTTCTCAGAACCCTGAATTTCCCTCTGTAGAGAAGAAGGGGTAGTCGGTGCTGCTGTCCTCTGTTAGCTCGCCGTATGCTAACTAGGGACAACCCTCTGAGGTAGGATTTGGTTTTGGGCTGCATTTAGCTGTGAAGTTGAAACACTGTCTCTTGTGCTATGAGTAGGTACTGCCGCCAGCGGCCAGCCTATAAGACATAGGCACCATTCTGCCATCTCATCAGTGAGGGTGGCCAGGCTAAGTTGTTTTTGTGATAGAGTTTCATGCTAGATGTGTTCAAGACAACTGAAACACATTCTTAGATTTATGGGCAGTAATGCCTAGTATGCAGATTTTAGTTGGTGGCCGAGATACTAGCCCTGTCAAAATGGTAACACGTCTAAACATGTGCATCAGCAGAAGGAGTTTAACCTATCTCCTTTTCTTAGCTACTTTAATGTATGGGGGGTTTTGGTAGTTTGTGACTTTAACTTTTGAAATTGTTGGCTATAACCCACCAAAGTAATTCTGAGAATCAGGATGTCTAACAGATAGACATTCTGATGCATAACTTGTTAGTGCCTAACTCCTCTTTACATTCATATTCTTCAGTTACTAATACTTTATAATGACAGAAAGACCTGAAATAAGTTTTTCTATTTGAGTAGCAACAGAGTGTTGCAAGAAATTGTAAGTCAAGGTGGTATATTTTTCCAGAATAAATACCTGTATGGCTAATTTAGCTGTTCTATTAAGGAGACCATGTCTGGAAATTGAGCTCTGTGTTGTAGTTAATCATCCTTAAAGGGGGAAATAATCTTTTGGCAATTAGAATGCTGAAAGACCCAGCACACTCTAATAACCGCATTCTCTCCATAGCCCTGCACAGCTAAGTGCTGCTAGTTTTTAGTTTATAAATTAAGAGAAAATTGCATGAAAGTTAACCCACGTATAGCAAACACTTCTCATTTATGTCAAATGTCTACTCCTTACAAATGAAGCCTGGACATGCATAACAAGGCAAATGAAAATTTTAATAACGTCTTACACCTACATTCATGCATGATTACGACAGGAAGTTATACTGGAGACCTTATTTTTTAACAGCATTTGCAAATATGTTGTGATTAGTCTTTATTAACTTTACTAGCAAGACCTTTGAGGTTTTTCTTTGTTTCTTTTTTAGCTTTTCCTCTGGTCTCAGAATACTGGAGCTGAGCATGGCTGGTCCTTGTACAGTGAACCTGAGTCTGTCTGCCTCATTGCTTATCCTTACAAACTTCCCATGGGATACAAATATTTCAGTGAGCAGAGTAAAAGCCCTTCTTTCACTGACAGTTTTAAAGGCCTGCGTGTAAAGTTGGACTGGACTTGAATGTGTGAAAGTTCATAACCTAACCCTTCTTGATTTACCCACTTCTATGACATAATTAAGAGAGTTTATTGTAATCTGATTTTATCTCGTTAAAAATGAACTCATCTGTTGAATATTGGTAATAAAAAAGGTGCGACTGCCACTTTTTAGCATGAAAAATGGAAAGCAATCTTTGTTTCAAACTTATTGAGCTCAGACAGCAAATTAAAGTACAGCTACATTTTACTGACTATAAAACTCCTTATGAACTTAGCATGGCTGCAGTTTTAATGCCATCCTGTGAACATCTATTCCAACCTCTGAGCCTGGAATAGGTTTGATATACCTTTCCACAAATCTTATCTGTGGTAGGATTAATAAATATGGCACTAACAAACAGCCTTAAAGTATGTAATTGCATAGTAACATCTGGGCCTAGTACCTTGCATCTGTTTACCTGTGTGGATGGACATGAAGTGGAGATAAATACTTGTTCCTCTTCTGACTCTGCAGCGAAGTGTGAGCCTCACTGGTGCCAGAATGCCTTGGGCTGCGCTAACTACCAAGCGGGGTCTCAGTAAGAGATCAGCGCACAGAAATTGCACAACACCTGTTACTCACCAAAATACACTAAAAACCACTGGGGCAGAAGACTTACTCACACCCAGCAGCTGCATAATTGCACGTGCAGATATCTTCAGGGGGGGTTAAGTACAAAGAGATACGAGAACTCTAGCCCTTAGCTACCTGGGGACATCGTAAAAGAACTCAGGCATAAAGAGAGAGGGTAATTTAATGGCATTATGCAGGGACTTCACAAACTTACTTATCTTTTTGCTTGAATCTGGACTAAGCTGATTTGGGCTAGGCAGCAAAGCAGATGGGGCTGCTGGTTCTTCCACCTGCAGGCAGGGAGCAAGGCTGGAACAAAGCAGCAGAGCAGGTGCTCCTGCATTTGGAGAACGGGGCAGAAGGAGTCAGCAGGGCAGTGGCCAAACGCTGTTTTCATTTGTTTGTTTGCTTCGTAGGAGGGCTAGGGAAGGTGCATGGGCATCCACAAGCTGCTGCTGTTATAGCAGTAAAGAAAAGGGAATCTTAATCTTCTAACCCTCCAGAAATCAGGTCTTTTTCTGAGCTCTCTGGCCAGCTCTACCCTGTGCATGTTAATAGTAGCATATCCTGCTGTCTGGAAAAGCTGCAGCCCCAGTATCCGTCCAGAGTGATCCTGCAGCCAAAGCATTGGTATGGATTCAAGAGACGAAGGGAATGATGTGACACACAAAATAAAATTTACTACTTTGGATGAAACAACTAGAATAAATTTACTGCTTGAGTGCCAGGATTTGAAATTGAGATTTTTAGGCCAGGGTCATCTTCTCTAAAGATCTCTTCTTTAATAAAAGGAACTAATGGGTAGATCTTTCTCAGTCTTTCAAAGCACTATCTGCACAGTGACGGGGAGTGGCTTTCTCCCTCCTCTGCCATATACTTCGTGCAGACAGCAGAGTGACAACTGACCCCTCTGAACAGGTATCACGACTTTGAATCTAGATTCACTTTGCATAAGTCTCATTCACTGCGTTAAGCTAAAAAGCAGAGAAAATAATCTCTCTGATTTACTTATTTTATGTAGGAACTGGCCAGAACAGGTTCTACCTAGTACTTCAAACAAAAGCTTTCTGTTGCCCTTTGCATAGAGGAGTAATAACCTTTTTTTCTTGTTTCATAACTAAAATAAAATCTGAAAAAAATGGAAGCAAGGATTGCGCTGTGAAAATAGAAACTTATATTCTCTTATTTTCAGCTGCACTTTTAAGTACAAAAAACCCCCACAACATCCCTAAAATTTTATATGCAGCGTATAAATAACCCACCTTCTGGTACAGTGTAAACATCTGATCAGCAGCAAGGAAGGACTACCCAGAATAGGACCTTAACTGAGCTAAAATGATTATGCTTTGCTCTATTTATCGATTAACAAGATCTTTACCTCACTATATATCCAACCCTTACATAGAAAATATAATATTTCTTTAATGAACATGATCTTTGTACAAGTATCATCTGGAATGGTACCATGAAATCAGACCCTGAGGAAAGACAATGACTGAATGCCTGAGTCACTGATTTAAGACACACTGAATATATTTGGACACAGTAGCTGTATTGATGACTGAGAATTCCTGGTATACCTTCAGTTCAACATGTCAAGTAATCAGCAACTTAATATTGAACATGGGAACTTACTCAACATAATAAGTGCCATATATGGGATCATCAATTTTCTCCCAGCCATATGGAAGCTCTGAAAAACAAAGAGTTATCTCAGTAAATGCAGTATAGAATGCTAAGATTTCTAGTAACAAAATTGTGGATCTTTGCTGGGCATTGAGGGAAATAACTTGATAGTTAAATTAGATACAGTGACCAAAGCAAATGTCAAATCCTGAACACATACCATGGCAGCCACAACTAGTAGTAAGCTGAAAATTGGCATGCAAACACGTATCTCAGTCTCTAGAACAACACATTTTAGTTGAACTACTTTATTGTTCCAACAGCTGTGCTAGCCATCAGCTGTAGCACATCTTGTATGACATCACTGCCGGAGGAAGTGAGGGCATTCTGTTTTCCCAAATAGGTACACACAAAAAAAAGTACTTGGCTTTTTGAGCTTTTTTCTTTGCTAGGAATCCTGGAAAAGTTGGCCTTGAAGGACCAAAAAGCGTTTGCCTTCTGCCATGTAAGTACAGTAAATATACCTAAATGTTTCTGAGAAGTTTGTACTATTTGTCTTACTGTGATAGCAATTCCACAGCCTCCAAAGGCATCCTGTTCCAAAGCTTAGTTATATATCAGAGACATCAGAGTATATAGTAGTACATGGAAGTACAAACCAAAATAAGATATTATAGCAACTTCTGGCCTTAAAAATAATTACATTTTGTAGAAACAGAGAAGACATTTAATTGTTAATACCTAAACCATTCAGGTATTAACAATTAAAATGTTAAATATGTTAATTTAATGATCATAAAAATCAATCTGTGTTCATGTACAAGCAAACTCTCATATATATATCCACGTACATCCATAAATACATATTTTACTATCACTCACACTGAACACTTAAGAAATGATTGTACTGCCAACAGAACTTCATCTTGTGTTTAAAAGGCATCAGATGGATGTGACAAGTATCTCAGTTGACATGAACAGAATAAAAACCTCAGTGCCAGATGTGATGACTTTGATGGAGGAAACTCACAAAAGGATGGGCATCCCCACCACGCACAGGTATTGATTTCTGTGCACTTGAAGACTATGGCACAATATACAGGGAGTGGTACTGACATTCTACAAGGAAATCTGATTCTGGAATTCCTTGTCTCAGATTTTTTTTCCTTTTCAAACTCATCTGCACTTTTGAAGTAACTTTTTGGAGACAAAATGAGTACCAAACTAGACAGAGAAGAACTGATGTAGCTCATACTGAACACAGAGTCATTAAACTGGTCATAAAGAAGTACTCCTGGATGATTTGAGCTTCTTTTTTTCAGTGACAATGTGACTAGACAATTATTGGTGTGCTGTAAAAGGCAAATAGGAAAGTAAAGCCTGGCTGGCAATAGGGAGATTAAAGAGTTAAACAACAATGTTAAGAAACTGCTTCACCTCTGCTTGTTACTTCTCCTTTAAACAGATCTGTGATATCCTTTCTTGAGTGAACCTCCTTAGACTGCTGTAGTCTTCATGACACATTGCCCTGAAAGGATGTTCCTGCTCAGCCCTTTCCAATACTGCAATGAAGGATACAACCCTCTGCCAAAGACTGGCCGACGCAGAACTCCACAAATTTGCAACAAAAAGCTCAAGGACTTCCTTAATGTCGATATTCATTTTTTCCTATTATTCTTAGAATATTGTTAGCTTTGAAATCTTCACAAGTCCTCGCTCTGAACTGCTTTTGTCAGGGCTATTTTGTTATTGTCACTTCATAGGAATACATGCAGCATAAGGTATTTAAGCAGGTCACAAAATCAAAGAACGGTTGAGGTTTGAAAGGACCTCTGGAGATTGTCTAGCCTAACCCTTCTGCTCAAAGCAGGGTCACCTAGAACAGGTTGCTTAGGACCATCTCCAATTGGCTTTTGAGTATCTCCAAGGGTGGAGACTCCACAACCTCTCTGGGCAATTCTTCAAGTGTTTGATCACTCACATAGTGAAGAAGTTTCTTCTTTTATTTAAGTAGAATTTCCTGTATTTCAGTTTGTACCCTTTACCACCTGTCCCATCACTGGGCACCATTGAAGAGAGGCTGGTTCCATCTTACTTGCGCCTTCCTTCAGGTATTTATTTAGATTGATAAAATCCCCCCGAGCCTTCTCTTCTCCAGGCCAAACAGTCCCAGCTCTCTCAGCCTTTCCTTATAGGAGGGATGCTCCAGTCCCCTCATCACCTCAGTGGCCTTTCACTGGACTGTCTCCTCTATGTCCACGTCTCTCTTGCGCTGGGGAGCCCAGAACTGGACCCAGCACTCCAGCTGTGTCTCACCAGCGCTGAGCAGAGGGGAAGGATCATCTCCCTTGATCTGCCAGCTACAGCCCAGGAGGCTGTTGGCCTCCTTTGTTGCAAGGGTATGTCACTGGCTCATCATCAAGTCACCAAGCATTAGAAAGCCCTGGTGTTGCTCTTTCCAGACCTGCCCAGAACTTCAGTAAATTCCGTAGGAGACCGACCCTACAATGATTCTCCCAAAGTCCTGTATATCCTGAGACAAGACTGTGGAATGTAAGCCATAAATATTAAAAAAGAAAGCAGCTGATGCACAAATCCTGTACTGCCCCTGCAGTGAGTTTCATTCCCAATGCATGCATGATAAATAAGGCAATTATTTGCTATGAAAAAATGATGCTTTTACCTAACCCTGTGACACAGAATAAATATAAAGTATTAGTTTAAATACTATAGGTACATTTTATTTTTATGTAACCTTGCAAGGCTTTCTTCCCCTAATTAACTTAATGTTGCTTTCATATCTGGCCCTCTAAAATTACACTCCCTTAGAGAAAGGTGAGGCAGGTACTGGTAAAATCTGTATGTACTTAAAAATACACACAAACACACGTGCACACACATACACACGCACACACACACACACAGATGTGTGCATAGATCCCTTTCCCAAAGTGTATTAGTAGATGGAGTTTTTTTCAACTATGAAATTAAAAAAAGAAAGTAGATGTTTTGCCCAAATTTAAAAGTAGCTATCCTTCTGTAAATATATACACTTTAAAGTGTATAGATGCAGAAGACATATTTTATTTTACATATTTATGGAAATCTGAAATAATTTGAGGACTTACTATTAACCTATCGGCCTATTTTTTCCTAAAGTAATGATGTAATGATGCATAACTGTATTTACAAACTGGCACAACTACTGAGAAGGCAAATGGCAAATCCCATCTTCTAGTGTAAAAGTCTGTAAAAATTTAATGAATTGGACATATCATGGAGAACCCATTTTTATAATGCGTGGATTGAACCACTGATTATTTAACATCATAAAATAGTCATGGGTTCAGAAGAAAGGAAATAAAAAATTACCTTCGTGTACCATAATAGATATAAACTCCTTGTAAGGCTATGCTCTAATTTCATTTTTCCATTTGAGATGCAGCCTGTAAGTTATGTTTAATTAAAATTCTGTGCTGACCAGTAAAATGGAATTGCTAGAGCACAAACCCTAAGCCCTCTGCACCCTCCCAAAGTATGGCAGATAAGGTTAGTGGAGTGTAGTTTACTACAGAGCTTCTGTTAGGAGGATCTTCTGCTACATTTGCTTTCACTGTGATTATTTTTCATTACATTAAATAGTGGCATCTATTCCATTTTTCACTACTGAAATGAAAGATTACAGGACAGAAGTACTTTAGTGCTCCATAAAATTAGGAAGCTAAGCATTTGCCAGATTAGTGGTGAGGGCATTACAGTTTCTCTTTTTCATTTCACTGTGCCCAGTGATGATCATTAGGGATGAGAGTGAATAGTAAACATTTATAAAAAAGAATTGTTATAAAACACTTGTGAAGGAGATTACTGTTGGCCACCATGATTTGAATTGGAAAGGCAGCTATAATTATAGTAATCTCTGATATTCATTTGATAGCACTAGCATGCTAGTTCATGTGTAATTTCTGCAACCAATGGTTTTACGGTTACTATGCTATATATGAAGTCTTCATTTTCATGAGCTCAACGCTTCTACCATCCATGTCTTTGAATTCTGTTCACTCCAGGAGGATCTCTGTGTATAGAAGTAAAAAAATTAAAAAATTCCATCCTTTATTTTCAGTCTTCAATATCTAACATTGTTTTCCCACAGATCTCCTATCATCCAGTGGAGGGCCCGTTCAGGAACATTTGTAAAATCACCATTTAAAAATCAGTAATTGTGCAGCATTTGGCAATGCTGTTACGATGAGTGGATGGAAAGGTGCTGGATAATCTGTATAGGACATATATATGCTCCAGTTTTCAGATTTCATGCTTTATCCCCTACCAGAGAAGCAGCATCTAGCTAACACTGCAGCAGTCATCCACAAAAAAAGATCAAAAAGGTACAGCTGATACTAAGACACTTTGCTCAGTATGCACCTGGGTAAGCTTTTAAATGCAGAAGGAGCTGCATTTCTGTAAGTAACCAATGGTAACAAAAGCCCTTGTATTTTCAAAGAAAGAAAGAAAGAAGGAAAAAAAGAAGGAAAGAAAGAAGGAAAAAAAAGAAAGGAAAAACTAGTATGAATTCAAGCAGGTCACTTCAATAATCAATGGTAGTGCCTTCTCATCACAGCCTCCTTATGCTAATGGTCCAGATGCTCTTATTCTGCCTTCTGAAAGCTGTTGTGTTTCAGAACGATTTTTTGATGGTGCCACTTAACCTTCTCTGGGGATGGAAGAAGGAGTACATTTTGGATCTCAATGTGCCAAGATGAAAAAGCATATTACCAAACCCAAAGATTATTTTTTCTGGAGTTTATGGAGTAGTAACTGTGTTAAAGAGAGTCATAAAAACCTCTCAAGGTTTCAGAACAACAGCCAGCATTGTGTCACTACCCTACTGACAGGCTGGAAAGAAAGATGAGAACATATTTCTTGAATCAGCTGCAATCAAAATATTTGTATAGTACAAAAGAATATGGAATGAGAGAGAAAAAGAAAATATAATGCCTGCTGTTATTGAAAATGCTGTCAAGAAGGATGTGGAAGCTGTGGAACTCAGCATGAGTTTGGTTCACCTGC